CCGAGGTGCTTTGGTGCTATTGGAGATTGGAACATGACTCTGCAGCATGGTGCCACTTGCTGTACCGCCCCGAGAACCGGCTGTTTCTGTAGCTGAGTGATCACGGAATTAGACCAGAGCAGCCCTAATGATCCCTGCAGAAAGGAACTGATTAGTGTCTTGCTCCAGGAGAAGGGTAAACTGTTTCATCTCTGAGCACTCCTCGAATTTTAATGGAAATTGCATTAGCTGCTCTTATTATTACCTATGCAAAAATCAACAATACTATGATAGTAATAGTTCTTGCTACAATTAGGGCAAGTTGCGGTCAGCAGTTGTGACGCATGAATCGTGCTTTTTGTTAGCTGTATTGGCAAAGGAATTGATCTTTTGGATCTGTTTCACAGTGAAAAATGGACTCTCCAAAGATGCCTTTCAAAAATCTCCCTTTCTCCTCTGTACAGGCACGCTCTCTCCGTTGTTTTCACTCCTCCTTTGGATAGCAGTGGCGTTTTGTACAGCAATGCTGTTTTTCATCTCCAAGCCTGTTGGTATTCGACCCTTTTTGGTGTCTGTTATTCTCAGGTCTATATATACTATAGGACTCGGTCCTACCTTGATACTTCTTGGTGCTGCTAATGTAAGTACTTAAAAAGCAAGCAGAATTTCCCTTTCAACAGAAGCAGAGCTGTTAAGGGTCTCCTATTAAAAAAACCCCTTGATTAGAGCTGTGCAAAGAACTTCTTTTTCTGGTTCACTGATTAAGCCAAAAAAATAAATAATTTCCAGTCATCCTGAAACAGCAGTATCAGCAAAGTGGGAAGCTAAGAAAAAAGCTGTTTTGGTTTTGTGCATATGCAAATACTTTAAAAATAAAAACAATATGAAATTTAAATAAATATTGTTGAATAAGAGGAATCAAATTTACAGTTTTTCATGTTAAAAGAGTCATTTTCTCTACCAATATGCTTAGCAAAATTGACACAAATTAGTGAGATGTTTCTGTCAGCTTAGATCTGTATTTTTGCGAAGAAAAAAGTTTTCAAAATTAAAAATTCTCTCAGCCTTTTCCCAGATTTCTTAATTTATTCACATCCATGCTTGCATGTTTACTGAGCTTGGTAAGATACAGAGTCATGCTCATAAGTCATCTGTGTAGATCTTTGCCTGACTGCTACAGCTCTAATTCACCTTAGCACCAGGCAGCAAAGTATTGGGCTGTTTGCCACCATTTCTGTGAGAATTTCATGTACTTAAAGTTACCTGGACATGTAGTCAAAGGTAAAGGCAAGTAAACTGTGCTTGCCCATGTCTAAATTTGTGAAAGAAAAAAATATGTTGAGTCCTCATTGCTTGCCCTGGAGTACCAAACAGATGAAGTTAGCCTCTTTTATATTTTCTTCTGCACTGCTGTTCACGTGCAGGCAAAGCTCAGTGGAGGATCTGATGCTGTTGCTTAAATACTATACTTCAAAAATGCCCCCAGTATTTTTTTTAGGGATTTTCTATTGAAAAACATGATCGG